CCAGCTCCCAGATCAGCTTCTCTCATTGGTTGATGTGGCGCGTCCAGCAGCTAACATGCCATTCTTCCAACTCCAGCAGCTGCTGCTTGTGAAGCGCGTCACGCTCCTGAAATGTGTCAAGATGCGTGGCTCCTGCTGCTCTAGATACGCTGCAGGACCTTTGATGTGCCTTTATGCACGTCAACCATAGACTTTGCATGTAATGCGGCTGCTTCTGCTGCCCAAAGCGTGATAGGTGTGAACACAGCATTTTAGAAAGAGAGCCTCCACCAGATTCCTGGGCAGGAGGCTCTTCAAAAACTTTCAACTGACTGGATAAGATCTGCAGCAGGGCTTTGTGGTTGGAGCCACTAAGGGTTCAGTTTCTTCAGAAAAGGCTTTTAGGCTTCATGCCAGAACTCCAAGTTCACCACTATTCACCTATAAGCACCACAAACATCGGCTGGTGCACAGCTTCATAAAAAAGCCAAGGAGGATTTGGAAGAAGATGGCGATGGCTCATTTATGCTTTCGGGGTGTTTTATGATGCCTGGTTCTGAGTTTCAAACTGTAACGTGGAGGAATGGAGACAGAATTAGTCAAGTGCAGGAAATCTGGAGAGAAAATCATATCCTGTTTGTAAAAAACTCTGAGGCTTAGTGCTTAGTAACATGACTCCAGATAAACGAGTCATGTCAACAGTTGGAGCGTGCACTTATAAGAGTCTATAAAGTCAACTTTGGGAACAAAATGGAGGTCTAACTGGACATTGAAAAGATATTTTCTAGCGTTCCATTCCACTGTCACAAGTACAGAGCAACAAAATTAGATCTCTGCATTTAAACCATCCCATTGGGGAGGGGTGGGCTGCCAGTGTGCGGAGCCCATGGAGCAGTGTGGGTCCTGCTCAGGGACCCACATTGGCAGTCCGTGGAGATGCAGCTTGAACTCAGAACCTCTGGAATCCGAGCGCAATGCCCTAACCACTAGGCCAAACCCAGGCTTCCTGTTTGCCAAACGGGTGACGGTTTGGTTCCAGAAGAAGTTCTGAAAGATTCTGCAGTGGTTATCACCGATGATCGACCGGCTGGAAAGCTCTTTTGATTGCAGGACAGAAACCCAGGAACACTGATGAATTTGCTAATTGGCTAATCAGGAGTTAGCTACAGTATGATGCGTCAGAAGCGCTGTCAGAGTCAACCAGGTATACAGCAGGATACAATAGCAAAAGGATTCTTTACTAAACACTAAAGATAGTTTCATGAAATTTAGTGACTGATGTATTTAATAATTCTATTCAGTTTATTTCTATAGCTCCAATTCACATCATGTCATCTCAGGTCACTTTCCAGTTCACCAGATCATCCAGTCAGATTGATTCAACGTTTTCTATCTAAGGAAAACCAGTTGATTG